ATTTGTTCCCTGCCAGTATATTCCTTGATGCTTAATTTCTTCTTGTAGTCAGAGGAGCAAGTGTCTCAAGGACAAGGGAGAAATGTTCAGATTGTATGTTGCTTTCTGCAGCTTCTGCTTTCAGCATTTGTCAAAGAATATCCTAAGACAGTCATCTGTCCCCCAAATGAGTTATATACATATTCGGTTCCATTGAGTAAGATGAAGCTTAATTCACAATCACTGTTGCTTCAAGCTGTAAATCTCTAGGAAGATGCTATTTTCTGGCTGATGGTTGGAAGCAGCCAAATAGGGGTTCAGAACTATCCTATTGCCTGGGAAATTGTCCATTGCAAATGTCCCACTGTGAGGACGAAAATGGCTGGATGGTGCCTGCAGTGATTCAAATTATATTTCTGTATACAGGGTATCATCCTGTTCAAGAGCAGCGCTAAAGGTGCGCTGGATAAAGCCAAAGAAGCAAATAATGGGAAATTACAATTGCGAGAGAAAGATGTCACGTGGGAAGTGCTTGAAGGAGATGTGGCCAAAGAAGCACTGAAGAAAATCATGGAGAGCCAGCAGGAGCTGTTAAACAAAAAAAGAGGAAAAGGTGATTTGTTCCTTTAAGGCATTTACTTATCATTTAATCTTTCCTGGAAGTTAAAATTGTTGAAATCGACTGTTCTCTTCGGAGAGGAGTTCTGATCTAGTGAGCCCATCTTCGTGTGTTAGGAAGAAGGCTCCGTTTGTCTTCAGTGGCTCTGGAAAGGGCCAGATTTATACGCATACAGGACAAGCCCCGAGAGCTGCCTGTCCACAGTGGTGGCAAGGAAAGGAAGGAGAGTCCTAGAAGACCAACTGTTCTTGGGCTGAGGGAAAAATGGGGAAAATGCTCTGTAGCCCAGCCAAAGGCCTTGCTTTTGAGTAGCCTGGCTCTGTGGCACGGAAGGAGGTAATCCTTGACCAGCAAGCCAGATTTTTTTTTAATGCTAAATCAAGACATTAAAAAGCCTCTGGTTGGCGTTTGGTTTTAAATACCTCTTCCCTTTAAAAACAGATAAACATTTCAGACAATAGCCTTCTGGTGATATCATCACTTAGCCCTCAAGAGTATATCTATTTTCTGGCCAAAAGATTGCCCATCTCTGCATTAGAGTTTAGAAAAGGGAGGGAATGCATGCCAGGGCAGGTTTGCACACTTCAAATCCTGAAACTGGTTCAGAATTGTATGGGAATTTCTTGATCTCTCTTTGTAACCAAATGGGGAAACTAACGCAGGCACTCTTTAAGTAAACACTAAAGTTGAATTACATCTACTCCCTTCCTTTGAAGACAGAGAATTCTGTATTTTATCTTTTTGATTTTTTTTCCAGGAAGATTTTTCTGGTGTTCTTTCCTATCTTTTTTCTCTATGATTAAAAGGTCTTTTTGTCCCCATAGAATTTTTCTTTGTCAAGCCTCTTTTTCTCAATAAACTATCCTAACATCTTTTTAAAAAAATGATTTTCAGAGCCTTCTTTTGCTTTTGCTTTTAAAAAGAGGCTATCAGATTTTTCTTTCTTTGTATTTCTTATACTGCCAAGAAGAATGATTCTGTTGGGCGAATTTGTAAAGATCCAAACATCGCATTCAAAATCGGGATACAATGACATTAGTGCCTTAATTCTTCCTGACAGGGACTGTTCTGTAGAGTAGCTATTTGAAGGAATTAACCTCTGGCTGAAAAACAGGACCTATGCTCAAGACCTTCCCAGGTTTCATAGTCTTGAATTATAAAAATAATACAGGCAGGATGCAAACAAACCAATAAATCTTCCCAGGTTTTTACTAAAATGCTGCACTTATGTGATTTAGTCCATTGGAAATTTTTTTAAAAAAAATCTTTATAAAGGACCACTGGAGAACAACAAAAAAAAATATGGAGACAACTTTTATATTTCCAAAAAGCTTTTTCCTTAGACTGAAGGTTATTAGTCTCTTGCATCATTTAATTAAATAGGAATTATCAAGAGTAACACCAAGCTGCTAGATAAAGAGAACGAGCATTTGCATAAAATAGCTGCTTCAGCTGAGTTTTTCTTTTATTTATTTAGGGTATGACATAACATACAAGGAATAGTAATATAAATTAACATTTCAACTCTTGTCGACATGGTAATTCAAAGCCTGGCACCTTTTTTCTGGGGTCATTTATATGTCTTCCCATAACTGGGTGTTCAGTGACCCATTTGGCTTTCCATTGGATTTCCTTTTGATTCAAGTACAATAAAACTAATTCGCTGCCCATCTAGTTGCTCCTGCTAATTTGAATCGAGATGTGGCGCCTATCCTTTGATCTCGTCTGTCCTCCAGTTTTTGCTAACAATTAAACCTTTTCTGATATACTTTTAGGATGTGCATTAGAGCCATTCACAAAAAAGGCTTAGATAGCAAACTGGAATTTTTCCTCTCCCTTTTCAGGATGTTACTGAATTGCTCTAAAGCTGTTTCTAATTAAGGTCTTGCAAGATTTAATGCGTTCTCCATTATCAATGCTCTTTCAGACATTTGATGGAACAAATTTTAGTGCTATGGAACTTCCAGTGGGATTAAGACTTTTTTCCTGCCAATATATTATAGGCATGAATGAAAGCTTCAGTGTAGAACATCAAATTCTTGGTAATATCCTCATGCAGGAAAGAACTGTAGAATTTCTTTCACAAACTAGATTACTAGGAGAGCTAATTCACATTTTTTTTTAAAAGAGCAGCCTAGCCCACACCTGATTCCTTATGGTACGACAGGGAAAAAAATGGATTTGTGGCTTGCCACTAATTCTGCCACTGGTGACCCATATCTGCATTCTCATATATTGTATTCTCCATTCATTGAAAATTGGTCAATTCTTTACCTACAAAAGCTTTTTCATTACAGAGACATCACTTGGGTTTGTGAATCTGTTTGGATTTGTTCAAGTTGTACATTTTCATTTTTAAAGGTTCCTTCCATTTTTAGATACATGGTTGATGTGAGCATGTTCTTCAGTTGACCCAACAAAGATGTTGGAACAATTTTTATTTACATCTAGCCCTCAGGATTTTTTATATTAAAATGTGACTGTAACCACTTCTCCCTTTGTAGCTTCTAGAAAAGTCTTGTTACCAATCCATGATAGCAATCAAACGCATTTGATTGAAATATAAACAACTATTTCCACACATCACCGAGAAAGTGGGGTTTTCCTATAAACCCCCTTTCATAAATCTCAGAATTGTTTAGTGGTTTCAAGAAAAGGAAAAACAAGCCTCTCACATCAACATGTCCACTAAACTGCCATAGTCCTGCTTCCCCACAGCCATTGTTTTTTTTTTTGAGAATAAAGTAAATCTGAATCGACTAATGTCTGATATCGGTAATCTTAATAGCTCTACATTGGTTCAGATGATATTAGATCTCAAAAATTATCCAGCCACTAATGATCAAGGCATAAGTTTCTTTCTAACAGAATAGCCTTGCTGGTGCAAAGACTAATCTTTCCAGGACTTTTCAAAAGCTCTACCAACAAATGTCAAGCATTTTCAAAACCATTTTGTTTGGTAGAATGCCTAGAGAAGGATATACATTGGAGCAGACTTTGTTCATTCTAAAATTACTTCTTCATTGATAATCCCAGTATCTTGCTAATAGAGCCCTGCATTTCACCAGCTGGAGCAATTAGAAATACCCAAATTTTAAGAGGAAAAATTCCATAACTCTAACCCATGCCAGATAGTGCATGGTCTACATTGCCATAACATAGAAAAACATGTTTTATACCTTCTTAATAATGTATTGCTATCAGAGCAGCAGTTATCTCAGTAAACTAAAATGAACTGGTTATTAGAAGAGTCATTATATTCACTAGGTATTGTATACTAGATAGGAGCTTCCATGCTTGGATAATGCACAGAAGGAATGCCCTGAACAAATGGGAGGCGACCAATTTGGGTTATCCATATACCAGATCATCTACGGTAATAAGCTGTAGTTCACAGAAAGCATCGGTGTTCCTTTATTATTCATGTATAATTGGAAAAGAAATCACCAAATCCTCTTTCCATGGTGCACTGTGAGCATTCCTTTTGATATAAGAGAAAACTAATAAGGGACTACTCTTTAAATTCAGCTAACTGGCCATGTTGGCTGGGAATTATGGAAACAGTAGTTCTACCTACAGTCCAAACTGAGGAGGGCTATTTTATATGATTGCCTTCCCTCTTAGAGATGTCCAAGAATAAATTCCTTAAAAGTGTGATGATCTTAATTCTGTACATATCCTTTTTTGCCAGGACGCAAAGGCAAAGGTAAAGGTGGCAAGGGAGCACAAGACGCACAAGACAAAAATGTGAAATTCCAAGGCAAGAAAACAAAATTTGAAAGTGAAGATGAAGAGGAGGGTGAAGATGCAAATATCACAGGTGATTTTATCTTTGTGGAACAAGATACAAAAATGTACAGGCACCATGGTGGTGTGCTGAAAAGTTGCTATTAAGTTATTGTCGAAGTTTCTGTGTTAATCTTTGTTAGCTATTTGTAACTCTGCTCCCCAAAACAGAATTGTGTAGGCTATTGGAAACTTGCCAGCAAGAACTGTTTGTAGTATTCAGGACCATTATTTTAGGTCTGCAGCATTCTTTTTGGAGTTTACACATTTTGCAGAAATGATGAATCAGAATGGAAAGCTGAGTTTCACATCCATGGATAGATTCACCATGCATAGTATGAGATTGGTGTATCTATTCCTTAAGTGGTTCTCTCAAATTTGTTCCGAGGAAGAGACTAAATTAAATGACTATGGCATCATTTAATATAATATCAATCAGCTTGATATTACTTGACTTACTACTGTAGGTCTGATTGTGATTGTTGTGGCCCACCATGACTGAAATCTCAATTTTACAGGATCAGCAAGTCCCAAGAAAAGATCGCTTGAAGAAGACGAGCAAGAAGAGCCAGCTGCCAAACAGCTAAAAACAGAAAATGGTGCTGGAATTCAGTTGTAATACTTCAAAAACCAATTTAATTTTTATTGTTTCAATACATTTAAGTCATTCCTCCATCCATCTTTTTGTTTTCACAAGAGAATCTGATAAAATCTACTTTGATGTCTACCTGTAAGACAAAGAAGAAAGTTACCTTTTGAGATTCTTTCTTGGAATAGTGGCTGATTTAACATGCAGTTTTAAAAAAATATCTGATGAGCCTATAATTAGGCTGAAAGAAAAGGCTGAAGAAACTGAACTATATCCTAATATCTGTTATGTACAAAACTTTTATTCAGTACCATATAACAAATAAGTATCAGTATCTTGTGTATTAAAATTTTGTGAATCTTTGTGTTCAGTTACAGATGTATCAAATTGTATTGCTACCTTTCGTCTATTGGAAGAAAAAAAATCTATAAATAAAACAACTATGTAGAGTTACCATGAGCACCTAACTCTGATTTTGTACTTGTCTTCAGTGCTGCAATAGAATTTTCTCAAAATCTAATACTTTTCTTTGTATGACAATGACAGAAACTGTCTGCTCCAATAAATAGATGTTGCTTTAGGTTTTAGGGCAAAGGTGTCTTAACATAGCTTCTACTTGTTGTATAGCAAAATCCAAAATGGATTACATTATGTGATGAACGAACAGGGGAATTTGATCTAGTAAAGCCAATCATGAATACACCCTGCCCATAACTTTTATTTCAGGGAGACCCTAAAAACATAGTATTGTAATGTATTATGAACAAAAGATGTCCATCAATTCTATGCTTCTCTACATTTGGAAAATCTCATTTAGTTTTAATTTCAAACATGCATACCCTCCATGAGTAAATGTGCTAATTTGGCAGTTTATTATAATTGTGATCCATCTTCTTGGATTTGTGGGGTGAACCTGTCTTAACCAAATAGCTAGATCCATATTATTTTTGTTCTCAACTACTAATGATAGACAAAAAGCAAATTAAAACAGAAAAAAAGGATGCTTCCTATCTTGCAGATACTCTTTCTGTACTATTGAGGACGACGAATCTAGAAATACTGTATTTTGTTTTGCTTGTTTACTGTTTTTAGCTAAACAGTTAATAGTGACAATGCAAGTAGAATGGAACGTATGTGCTAAACAGAAAGGTTGCATAGGCCTTTCAGTTTGAAGGTGAAATGAATTTGGAATTTATATAGATGCTCAGTTTATACCTGTCTGCAAATGCTTAATATAGTTGTAGGTTTTTCCTGTGATCACACAGTTGCTTGGCACAAGATCTCAAGAAAATGTGAATTTGATTTAAGGAGTTTTAGATATGTGCTAAATGTGTGTTCCTGCACACTCCAAAGCATCTTTTTTTAACTTTATGTACTAAAATCCCGCACAGCCCCAATCACAGAATTTTACATTCTATTTATGTGAATTGGTTTGGTACAGTCTAACTTAAACTAGTAATACCATTTTCTTTCAAGGGTGAGTGCCTTTGCAAATAAAAGATGCTACTGCATTCTAATAATTCTACCCATATGGATAGGCAGTAATTTTACAACAGGGAAATCTGCACGATTCTCCTAGCATTTTTTATTAAGCATCTCTTTGCATTCCTTTTACAAGGTTAGTATATCTTCTTCTCTGATAAAACATAAGTCTTCCCTGTCTGTCATATAACACATCAACCTGTCATTGAAAGATTAGGAGCCACACATTTGATTGCATCAGCACTCTTTTGAAGATAAGGGATAAGGGATTCCTATGGCTCTAGAAATTAAATATGTTTCTGCTCCCTTTTGTTTAGATCTTCAGTTTTGTTTTCAATACCAGGTTATATGTATATAGTTCAAATTGAAACATTTTTGTCTACGATCATTAGCATACAGCTCAGTTATTTAGCAACAAATGAATAGGTTTACTCTGAATTAAAAGTAGCCTAGTACTTACTGATTTTTTCTTGTGGAATTTATATGATGCTGGTAGGTCATATTTCAATTCTAAAAGTGAATTAAAAAGAATTTAAGCTGTAATGGAAAATCATAAACATATTTGAGAAGTGATGAAATATATTAGCTGGAAACAGTTAACACATGTATGATTTGAATATCTGATACTGGGTTATTGGATATGCTTACGATTACATAAAACTATCTTGTGTCTGGTTGAGTAGCAACAGTTCAATCAGATCAACTTACCATATATAATGCAAATACAACCTATATTTAAGATACCATTATAAAATTATTTTCACAATAGTTTTGGATCTGCATGTTTTAAAAAGCACGAGGGAAACAACTGCTGTGAAACAATAGTATAAAATGATTAAAAGTAAATATATTTTATGCTATTTAAGACAGGTCCTGTAAAGGTATTTGGTATCCTATATAAAGATAGTCTTAATATTTAAATGGGAACTTTGTGTGCCTTTAAACTGAATTTAATAATAACTTATTCTTACCTGCTAAAACTTCCATCCCTATATTCCATTCATCTGCTTTTTTCTGAATATGCTGAGCATGGAAGGAATGCAAGATATTAGAGGTTTTCTTGGTTTTGATCTATCTATCTATCTATCTATCTATCTATCTATCTATCTATCTATCGTCTGATGATGGTGATCTCCCTGAATAAATTTTCAAGAGTTTTTTTATACTAACATTGAAAACTAAACTAGATTTTGCACAAACTGATAGATATTATGAAAGTTTAATTCTAATACATCTGGAATATGGTGTTAATAAAATGTCTTAGACTATTTATTACATGATACCTGATTTCAGCATCTTATGATTCTAGAACATCCAAAAATTTTAATTTTACTGTTTCATACAAGGATGGGTATCAGCACAATCTTTAGACTTACTTGTCGAGTTGATGTTTTGTGTAAGGAATACACAGCTATTCTTGCCATTTGCACAGCTGTTTTGAGAAAAGCCATATCCATACCTATTAAAAATAAAGAGTTTTAAGCCTCTTTTACTCAGACACACTTAGTTATTATTTCTCCTGAATTTCTAAATATCTCAGCAGCCTTGAGCAGTATCACCTGCAGAAATAAAGTTGTCTTGCTAGTGTTAAGAAAAGCTTGATAATGGTTGCACTAGGTTGATAATGGTTACCTAGGTTGGAGAATACGTTTTAATTTCACTAGTAGGTGCCTAATTGATTTAAGTACTAAGGTAGTCCTTATCTTGCGATTACAACTGAGCCCAAAAGTTATGTTGCTAAGCCAGATGGTTGTGAAGCGAGTTTTCCCCATTTTACGACCTTTCTTGCCACAGTTGTTAAGTGAATCACTGCACTTGTTAAATTAAGTTGTTAAGTGAATCTGGCTTCCGTATTGATTTTGCTTGACAGGTTTCAAAAGGCGATCATATGACCCCAGGACATTCCAACGGTCATAAATATGAGTCAGTTGCCAACTGTCTAAATTCTGATCATGTGACCAGGGGATGCTGCAACAGTCATAAGTGAAAAAAGGTGATAAGTCACTTTTTTTTAGTGCTGCTGTTAACTTTGAAGTCACTACCGGTATTAAACATTCAGTACTTCCCCTGTTTCCAACAGACAGAAAATTGAAATTTATTTTTAAGCATTCCTGATTAGCATGTTTTAATGTTTAATCAGTTTAAACAATGCAGGTGTTTGTGTTATGTAACCACCTTTGTTTAGATATATTGCTTCAACTAATTCTTATACTGAATTAAAGTTCTAACATCAAGGTTTGATTTCTGTCAGATATTTTTAATTATCTCACAAATAAATGTACTTAATACATAAGTGGTTTAATAATTATCTAGCATGTGCTAAAATAACAAACCCTTTTGCCTTAAATATAGAATGGAATACACAGTCCTAAAATTTGTTGGACTGGGAAACATACTTCTGTTCCATTTTTTCAATGAAAGTTCCAGTAAAATCGTATTCTTATATAATAAATGTCTTGCGATTGCAGGATTTGAAAAATCATGAATTGTATATTACCAAGTAATGTAATTTAAGAAAATCTGTTACGTAATGGTAGAAATATGCTTATAAAATGAAAGCTATTTCTAAGTTATACTTGTTTTAAGACAGATTAAAAGTAGGAACATAAAGGAATTGAATTTATGGACGACTGGTAGAACAATCTAAAAAAAATTATAAGATATAAATTAACCTTGCTTACTATGAACCACAGAATGTAACAAATCCAGCACAGAGAATTTAAGGTAGAGATGAAGAATGTTTATATTATGCCTGAGGTGAAAGACATCAATGGCAGCTAAGAGAAAAGGAATTACTGATTCACTGTGGCAGTAAGGAAATGCTGTAAAAATAAATAAAATTAGATAACTTTTTCAGGTAGTTCACTCCCATTCAAGGAAAAAATGGCTAACCTTTATTGTGCTTAGTTCCAAAAGGAGGATTCATAATAATTGTATCAAATGTTTTGGACATTTTGTCAAGCAAAGAACATACATTGCACTGAATCATGTCAACGTTTGTGAGGTCAAATTCTTCAGCATTCCTATTAAATACCTCCAGTGCATTGGCATCTATATCAAATCCTATACATAACCTGGGAAAAATAAAATTAAGAGAATTACAGCAGTACATATTACTTTAAAAATGTCAACAACCTACTGCTAAACATCAATGTTTAATAATTTTAATACTAGATCAGTTGTGATTTTGATTTTTTTTCTTAAAGGAAAAATGAATTATTAGATTTCTAAATGTCAGTTTTATAAATTTTGAATGAATTTTCAATGCGATTTCATCTTTGAATGATTTTTCATGTGATGCTATTTCAGTAGCAGATATTATAAAAGTTTGAAATATGGAGTAACTTAACCTAGCAACGTGTTTTAGATGCACATTCTGTTTAAAATAATACGAGTAACTACACTGCATTCTTAATTATGGTGAAAATGTGTCTAATAAATCTGTATTTACAGTACAAGTAGTCCCTGACTTATCAAAATTACTGTCATAATTCATCGAAGTCTTTAAGCGCGATGTCAGTGTGAAGTGTGAAATCAGGCACAGGCATGGACCTGTGCCTGATTTTACAGCCTAAGTTGTTAAACAAATGTCACAGCCATTGGTTTCTTCAATGGGATTTTATTTTATTTTATTGCCAAAACCCAGTATCAGAAAACAGCAAAAACTACCAAAAATTGCATTTGTGAGACTGGCATGTTGCAAATGACCATCAATGCAATCCAGTTGTCAAGCACTAAAAATATGATTATTTGATGCAGATGTTTGTTTGTATCAGGCCGTCAGACCTCTGGAACTAAGTTGAGCTCAGGGAGATTTGTCTTAACTTCGAATGGTCACTAAGCAACCAGTTGTTAAGCAAGAACTACCTGTAGTTCAACTGAATGGCAAAGATCCAATTTGACTGTTATAACCATGTAGCTCTTCTTGGTGGCAATGTAGTAGTGGCTTGTCATTACCTTTGCTTTATTCCAGGATGTTTTTTTTTTTAACTTCACAGTTTAGTTTACAGCCCAGGGATATCCCAGTGATCTGATTGTGATTAGTTTTACTCATGACGAATTAAAAACATGCAACCAACTTTCTAAAGCTACCAGTACTGTTTAGATCAGGGCTGTCAAACTCCCGGCCCACGGGGCTGGATGCGTCACACGCTGGCCACACCCATGCCCGTTTTAGTGAAGGGAAAAAAACTCCCAATACATCACGTGACACCGCCATGACGTGAGTTTGACACCCCTGATTTAGATGGACTTATTTAGAGATATGGCTCTTTGTTTTCACATTCTTTGTTCTGAAGTATCCTTGGTTTTCATCCTTCCTCATTTAGTTTAATATTAAAAAAGCAATAAGAAAATGAGATTTCTTACCCTGCTCCCAACATGGCACTTCCAATGCTCAGTATGCCACAACCACACCCAAGATCTGCCACAATCTTGTTTTCAATATCATCAAATGTATTATGAATTGTATAAAGCATACATGCTAGAAAATAAAGATATAGGCAACAGGTTCAGAGCAAATGCAAACTATACTAAACAAACTGGGATGAATAAAAATCTGCTCTAGTTCCACATTCAAGCAGCGTTTTATTTTTATTCATCCACAAATTAACATATCAGCAAACTTTATAACAGTAATGTAATATAACACCTACTCAGATGGCTACAATATGTCTAAAAGGCAAATAAAAACAAACTCAAGTGGCTCACATAAGTGAAATGCCAAGGCTTCCAAGGAAAGGTCCTCCTTAAATCTAAACATCTATATTGAGAACAATATCTGTTATTCCACTGAGCTCATATTATAATTTTTAACTCAAGTACTGATTTTTACAGGTAGAAAAATTATAGGGGAGAATCTAAGAACTTAACTAATAAACTTAATAAGCATTCGTTATACAGGAGACTTTATTACTTAAACTTTTGGCAGAATATTAAATTCCCAACTTCTAAAATTCTTGGAGTAAAACTATTATTATTATTATTATTATCATTATTGTTGTTATTATTATTACATAAAGAACACATAATTTAATGTTATTTAAAATTAGCTGTTAGAATTTGTACAGTAGACCAATACATGACAGAGAGAAGATAAAATTTTACCTGCAATATGTGGCCGTGTCGGATATTGTTCAAGCAGGAGTTTTGGATTCTCAAAGACATCAACTTGTTGCAAACAACTCTCAAGTTCTTTAAGTTTTAACTTTTTCATGCTTGGAATCTGAGATTTATAATCAGTTATAAAGGGAATGAATGGATACATACATTCAAATATTAATGCTTATTTCCTAATCTATTTTACTGCCCTTTGTATCTCAATAAAAATGTTTTTTTTAAAAATCTGAGGCATACAATTTAAAATACAAGAAAACTCACCATTTATATATCATAATTGTTAACCCCCCCATCTCCCTTGGATGAAAAAATAGTATCCAACAAATGAATTGGTTCATATTACAACAGACTAATCATCTGGATTTGCATTACATTAAGCCATTAATTATGCTCCACAAATCATAATAGCTATATTATTAATACAACAGACTAAACCAAATTTATACCAACATTTTTGAAATGTGAAACCAGACTAGAGGAAAAAAATCTGTTAATTTTTATGCTCCAAATTTAGTGTAGCTTAACTTTAAACATTGCAGAAAAACAGATTACAAATCCATTAAATAAAAATAAAATAAATAAAAACGGAAAAACTATATGATAGAATATTTAGGAAAATTTAAAATGTTCCAAAGTAACGACCTTACATTCTTCAGATGGACATGAATGGAAAGAATTGGGGGAAGGAGGTAGATACAACTTCATACTTCTGAGTTTATGAACTGAAGTTAATGCTGAGAAAGATTATTGTATCCACCAAGTCTCTTTCCAGTCGAACTCTAGACTCCAAGTGTCTTAATGGACATAAGCAAATAATTTCCCGATTGTTTTTTCCCGAGTTTCCATTAATTCTGGGATAAATTTGCAGAGCATCCTTCTACAGGAGGAAAACTAAATTAACTATTTTGTCTGTTTATCCAAGTAGATAAATTATTTATACAAATAATCGCACGATCTCCTCGAACCTACACCTCCTGGAAACATAGAAAACGCTTTTACCTCTCTGCTTTTTTCTCAGCGATCACGCATTTCCGCTTTGTGCAGGAACTTAAGTCAACCCCCAAACAAAGGAAACAAAGTTCCGTGCCTTCAGTTCCTACCCAGAAAACAGCTCAGGGAGCCGTTTTCCCAGGTCCATTACTCTGGAAATCCTGGAAACAGAAAAGAACCGACGCTGATGGGATCTCAATTTGGACACGTCTACCTGGGAGGAAAAAAAAGTTTTAAAGAAGCTCGGTTTCTGTGGATTGTTTATGTCATGCGATTATCCTTTATCTCCCCGGATATTTCGAGAAATAAATCCCGCAATGCCCAGCAGTAAGATTTTACTTACATATAAATGTACAGTAACAGAATAACGGAAGGGACATTGTGGCTCATCTAGTCCAACCCCCGCGCCCAAGCAGGAGACCCAATCCCATTTCTGACCATTCAGTATACCATAATGGGGTGAGTACTTTCCATGGTCTCGCAGGTTTGAATCGATTCTACTCTGTTCGATCCGTCTCAATCCCTAGAAAAATCCTTCCATTTAAATGTGAGTCATCTGCATTATGTTCGTAAACTTATCTGAACATCAAACAACACTGAACCTGCAATAATTACTGTTCTAGGGTTATTGACGCCTTCTGTGCCATCAAGTCATTTTCGACTCCTAGACGAACGCTTTAAGCAACTGTTTATTTTTCACGGGTGCCATTTCCATTTGCCCTAAGATTATGCATTTTATTTCCTGCTCGCCTCATCAAGGCTTGTCTTGCAAAGCCACATTCTTTGGCTTTCCCTGTGCGTTTTATGCACACAGCATCAAAGTGCAGTGGAACTTGTCTAAGGAAAAAAAAACTCTTGCTCTGTAGGTGTGTAATAGGCAGTTTTCTCTTCCTTCATTAGAAATTGATGACATTTGTTCCTTTGGCACTGAGAAAGTTTCCGATCGGAAAGATTCTTACACTAAAGTGCCTGCTAGTTGACTGTTTAGCAACAGCTTGCTATGTAAGAAGGACTGGAGAAGTGCCCTGCTTCATCCCTAAGAGCTTCTGGTCCTGCTTCCTTTACGTTTCCACCCAGCCATAATCAGTGCCTAATAGGATCGCGTTCATTAAACGAAGGTGGGCAGAAGAACCTGGTCGCGAGAAAAGTGCCGCTCGAGGTCCTGCGCACAGCGCCCCTTTCCACGCGGATTAAAGTCTGCTCAAGGAGCAAGCAAGTTCACTCCTTGAACAAGCACTCGGAGATTGCAGCTCTCGGTTTCCCCGAATCTCTGATGACGTTTCTCTTCAGTTTGCCGTAGTTTTTGTTAAATACACCACCTTCTCCCTCCCGTGACTCTTAAAATGGTTTCTCTGTAATAAAAGTTACAGTAACTACTGCTGGACTCAGCTTAAATCTCTTGAAGATGACCGTTTATCAGGCGTCAGCATTTTCCCGCGGGAAGAGCTAAAGTATTTTAAAAATCTTATTCTGTTTCCCCTCCCCCCATTAGCAAGTGCCCCTCTCCTCAACGAAAACATAGAACAAAGAATCATAAGGGTGGAAGGAACCTGAAGAGATCTTCTAGACGAGTCATACCATATATGTGGGTACATGCATAATTT